AACAATTGGGCAACAGTGCTAATCCCCAGGGAGGACAGCAGCACCTTCTTCCCTTTCTTTAAGACTTCAAAAACTTTTTGATTTCATCTTTTTTGAAAAAAAAAACCCGCTTTATTCACGTTTTAAAAAGCACATGTAATTGTCACTTCCTCACAACTTCTTGCCTTAGCAGAAACCTTCCTTGTAACAAAAAAGTAGAGAGATTGGAACTATCATTTTAGTAGTATAGGGAACTCCCAGGTGACTCAATTTCCTCCACCAGTGCAGGTCAGTACTTTCCCTGCAACTTATGGTCTTAGAGAGTAGCCTAGAACACAAATGTTAAGTAGCATACAGCCAGTATGGTCAGAGGTGGTACTGAAACCTGGTCTTTCTGGGTTTTAAGACTAGCTACTTATCCATTGTATCAAGATGGCTTATGATGTCTGACACATCCCACATCAGAGGACAATATATTAAATGGATGTTTGGAACAAAGAAGCTGAGTTAAGCTAACAAAAAAGTCAACATATTGGCCGTGTCTTGATAGTATATGTGTTATTCCATATCTAGAGTCCACCATTTTTGTTTAAAGTTGGGAGGCTATGCTTCCCTATTGGTGCTATGATGTTGTTATAGGCCATTATGCTGTCTGTCTGAATTTATTTAGATAGGTTTTGAGAGATCATCTTTGATCATCCAGATGTGGGATTAACCTATCCCACATCAATAGGGGTTCTTTTGGATCACAGGGCAAAGGATATTTTGGCTGTGAAGAGTTTCCTCAAAATCTGTCCAAATCTGGGACTCTGCTTATAGTCTCATAAAAATACCATGGTTGCAAATTTGGTAATAATTATGGAATACTTTGCAATAGTTCTCTTCAAATTATATTATTTTATGTGAATATTTGTGAAACATTAGATACTGGGTGAGGTAAGGAGTGAACTGAACCACATAAAGACATAGAAAATGTCCTGTGCCAATGATATGAGATCTCCATTGCTCTCTGAGTCACCTTGACTTTGATTCTTTGGTGATTATAGTGTTGCAAGGTTTGCAGCTGTGCTGCATTATCAGGAAAATATTTGTGTTAAAGAGATGGGTCCTTGTGCCAGGGAACAGGTTGGGATCATTGAAAGCACTGGTCAGGTTCCCAAATTCAATCCAATGCACTTTTTACCTCCTATTTAATTGCGGTCCAACTTATTGTCCATCTGTCCCACATCTACATGATTATGGTCTAACTCATTAGTTCCTTAAATAAGCACTCATTAAGCATCTACTATGCACTTGATACTTTCTTGAGTGCTTAGGGTATGATGACAAAAAATGAAAAAATTTCTGTTAATAAGGAGCTAACAATAGACTAGCTGACCAACTCTGTGAGAAGAAATAATGGACCAGAAAAGGAAGTGGTCCAGTCATGGAGCAAGAGAGAATGATGCTGAAAGAACAGCCTGAGTAGTGTGCTGGTCCCCATGGCCTGTGAGAAGTTCTAAAGGAAGACCTCTAGCATTTTGGAGAAGTCTTCTTTGGAATATCAAAGGGAGAACATGGCTAAGAATTATATCAGAAGATAGAGATATATTGAGAAGATATAGATAGTTTACAATGTGTCCCAAGGAAAGAAGAAACCTCTTGAAGTTTTGAAGTATAATGTGAATTCTTTGAGCTGAAGCAATTTATGAAGACACCCTACTCAACTCTGAATGGGCTGCTAGCTGTCTTAGTGAAAGGAGTACAAACATTGACAAAACTGCTTCAGAAGCGCTGACTAGGACAACAGATGATATTCCTACAGTACCGTTTGGTTTGCAAAATGCTTTCCTTTCAATAACCCCTTGAGGCAAGGTTAAGAAAATTTTGATGCAAATATTATTACCCCATTTTCATGGGAACATTGAGGTTTAGGGATATTCAGTGGCTTGTCCAGAGTCACACAGCTAGTATGTGAAAAACCCAAAACTGAGTGAACCCAGCTCTCTGGATACCCAGTAAACTGCACCACGCTGAGTTACAGCATGAGACCTGGGTAAGAAAGTCCTTTTGTTTTAAATGTTATATACGTACATTTGAGTCACTTTGAAAATAACTTTTTCTTCTATCCAGATAGTTTATAGAAGTAAAGTCACCGTGTCAATAATGCTAGCTTTCATTTGTATAATTCATCACGTTTAGAAAGCATTATATATATATTATTTCATTTGATCTGTCAATTAATCAACAAACATTTATTAAGATCTTTGTATGCGTCAGGCCCTCTACTAAGTGCCATGGATGCAAAGATCAAAGTGACACAGTCCCTACCTTCAAGAGCCTTACATTATAATGGGGGAGATAATAATACACCCATCCATATATCTATATATGTGACCATATGTAAGAATGTACATAATGTATTCAAATGAAGACAAAACGAAATAAAAGAAGGACAAAAGCATTTCTACAAAAACAAATGAAGATCCTTTGAGGAGGCCAGGATGAAGTGGGATCGATCTAGATCTGTGATTTCATTCACACTGGGAATTTGGGAGATTAACTGGGCTGTAATCTCCTTCCACTGATACAGATCAGAAACTTTTTCTAACTCATAGCCTTAGAGAGTTGATTCAGTCACTGAGAAACTGATTTATCGACACAGTTAATCAGTCAATCAATCAAGCATTTACTAAGGACCCACTACGTGCCAGGTGTTTGGCCTTGGAGATACAAAACCAAACCAGATAGTTTTTGTTAGAAGCACGACTCGAACTCAGTTCTTCCTGACTCCCAGAGCAGCCCTCTGTCCATTAGACCACTCTGCCTCATGAAGAGTCAGCCTTGTAAAGAACGAATGCTCCCATTTGTTTTATCTCTTTGCCACATCCCTTCTTCCTTCTTCCGCATCTTGTTGTATAATCAGCAGGGAGAGGAAGTCATTAGTAATATCCAGGCATTATCAATATCTCTCCAGAAATTACAGTCCCATAAAATAGACCTGAGGTTTGCAGCTAGGTGGCACAGTGGATAGAGCAGTAGTGGGCCTGCAGTAGGAAGACCTGAGTTCAAATCTGGCCTTAGACACTTACTAGCTGTGTAACCCTGGGCAAGTCACTTAACCCTGTTTGCCTCAGTTTCCTCATCTGTATGAACTAGAGAAGGAAATGACAAACCACTCCAGTGTCTTTGCCAAGAAAACCCCAAATGGGATCACATAGATTTGGACATGACTGAAATAAAAGAACAACAGCTTACATGCTTGTCTCACACTTTTTACAAAGAGAAGGCCTGGGTGCTTGGAGAAGCACATCATATTATTGTTATCAATCAATCAATCAATTGAAGATTTATTAAATTTCTACTATGAGGAAGTCTCCAGGGATACACATGCAAACAATGAAACAATTCATAGTCTCAAGGAGTGTATGTATTCAAAACTTAGGTGACCAGAGCACTTTAGTTACACCCATAAAAATATCAGTCAGCCTCAAAGTGAAAGGCCTTCCACATGCTTAGCAGATCCCCTTGGGTTTGATGAAGCCACACTACAAAACTCATTTCCTGTTAGACCAGAGTCAAATCAACTGTTTAAGAATCGCGAGGCTTCCAAACCAGTCCAAATGAGTGACTGTCAAATTGGGAGCTTCGAGACTTCCCGAAAGAATATTCTCAGGTAGACAGCTCAGATTCTTCATGCTAATAATGCCAATTTTTAAAAGTGTAACCTGACTTTCATCAAGGCGGTTGATAAAATGAAGCCTTTCTTTTTCAAGTGAGCAAAGTTGGGAAGGGAGAATATTGTAAGCAAACTCTCTGGGATGGCACCACTAGCCAGGTCAATCTGGAAGAGGACCATCTAATGATTAGTCTGACTCATCGAAACTTTAACAAGTCCAAAGCAAACTTTCTCCCACCATACCCCACTATCTAGTTCTTCATTTATTCATTCATTTATTTGGCATGAGTAGAAACTGCTCCACTTAAGGGCATCCATCCCCTTGTGCAGGGGGAGATTTTAGCAACATCTTTGTAATCATGATAATAATGATAATTATTGCTAATAATAATTACTAAGCACGGTGCAATTGACTTGGCATCCAGAGAGCTGGCCTCATTCTGGTCACATATTAGTTGTGTGACTCTAGGCAAGTCACTGAACCTACCTATGTATCAGTGTTCTCATCTATAAAATGGAGTAATAATAATTGTCTAACAAAATTGTTGTCTCCTTACCTCCAGGGGTAATTTGTCAGGCGTACAACAACCACAACAATAATAATGATGACTTACATATAGCAGCTTACACAGGGTTTCTAAAGCCTCTACATACGTTAGCCCATGCCTGACAATAACCTTATAAGGTAAGTGCTATAGTTTTTAATCTGCCCTTTTGTCAGGTGGAGAAGTTGGGGCTCAGAGATATGATGAAATTATTTGCCAGGGGCTGCACAGTTAAGGAGGGTCAGAGGCAGGATTGGAACCCAGATTTTTTTGGCTACAAGTCCAGTACTATCTCTGTTAACCACCAAGCACTAATTAAGCGCCTTATGTGCTAGGCTCTGAGGTGGCAGTGAAATCAATAAGAATGGCCCCAGAGTGAGGAGGGAAACATTGAGGAGCCAATAATTAATTGGAAATTGGAGGCAGAGTTTGGGAGCTGGGGACCTAAGGGAGGATTACAATGACAAGTTCCTTAGATCCTCAGCTATTTGATATTTCTAAGTGAGCAGGTCTGCAGCCCAGCCTGCTGTCCACTGCTATGAATGGGCCAGAACCCCTCGAGTGTCAAGTCAACACTTTTTTCCCTTCTCAGAATTGCGCTTCGTTTTCAGCTGAAGGGTGGCTATCCTATTACCCAGTGACACGATGTGTCCAGCGATTCCTTTCCTTCAGGGAGAAGCAAGACTCAATGATCAGCTGGTCCACAGCCCTTTTTAGTTCAAATGAGGCTCAGAGATGCCCTCACCCAGCACCCACTGCTCACCCCTGCACAGATTCTAAGAATTCAAATGGCAAGAAGCAAAGCCCAGGTACCATACCTGAGCCCTTCCAGTGATCCCCACCCGGAAACTTGTTCCTTGGTTATGGAGAATTGGCAGCAACGTGTCGCTCTGCTTATCCTCTGTTCATCATATCAAACTCCAAAGGTTCAGTGCCTCTGAGTTTGGTTTAGAATCAGAGGAAGTTAAACGTTAACTCAGCCTATCTCCCCTGGCCCAGCAGCCCTTTGACCGGCTCACCAGGTCACTAGAGACAGACAGAAGCTATGAAGCCACAATTGTTTACAGAAGCTGCTGAATTTTGCTGGAAAAACAAGTCATCCCAAATGATATCATTTTGAAGCCCACCTGTCCCAACACAGGGAACCCTTAATTTCTTATTGGGAATCAATCAATCATTACTTTGAGGGATGAATACTTTAAAAAAGCCTTCTTACTACAAAATAATATAGGACCAAAGATTTAGAGCTGAAAGAGATTTTCAATGCCATCTAGTCCAACCCCTTATTTTACAGAGGGGGAAACTGAGGCTAGAAGTTCAGCATTATCTAAAGTCACACAACCATCATGAGTCAGAGATAGGATTTTAACTCAGGCCTTCTTGCTTCCAAGCACTGGCCTCTTACACATTTTACCATGAGAAGGACCCTTGGCTTGTCCAGACTGCCCATTTTTTAGACCTATTCCAAATAAAGTATGCTAAACATAGTAGATGATGGGGGAAGACATGTAGGTGAATGCAGGAGTCCCAGCATAGCAAATGTAGAGATGATAGTGAGCCCCACAGTCTTCTAGACCAGATCAAAACATGCAAAAGGGTTTCTTTTCCCTGGCTTCTTACAAAGAGGACTATTGGAGGTCTTTGGAGAAGTCTCTGAGTGAACAGAGTAGATGGTTCCCTACTAGAAAGGTCAGTATTCAAGACCAGAGACCCTAGTTCAACACCGCTCAAAACCTCTGTGGTAACCGTTGACTTCAAAATTTAACTTGACATTAGACAAGTCATTTCATTGCTCTTTGCCTCAGTTTCCTTATATGTAAAATTAGGGGCTGTATTAAATGACCTCTAAGATTCCTTCTAACTTTATGATTCTATGATCAGTAAATATTTATTAAGAACCTAATCTGTGCCTACTGCCTTACAGCCTTCTACTGAACGCTGGGGGCAGAAAGACAAAATTAAACAGCTTCTGCCTTCAAGAAATTTCTTTTCTATCATGGGAGATACAGTATCACATAAAGGGTATACCAACTAATACAAATAATGTCAATAGAAAGGAGGGCTGATAATTGGTGGGGAGGGAGTCAGGAAATGCATCATGTGGAAGGGTGGAAATTCTCTGAGCTGGGGCTGAGGAGAGTGCTCCAGTCAGAGGGGGCCATTTGGCCACAGGCTTTAGAGCTGGGAAGGACCAGGCCATCTAGCCCAATCCTCTAATTTTGTAGGGGATGTAACTGATGCCCAGAAGTAACTCACATGAATTAGTGATAGAAGGGGGATTTGAACCCATGTCTTCTGACTCGAAATCCAATCCTCTCCTCCATCGTACCCGAGCATCTTACTTCCCACTTTCAATTCATTTCAATACAAAAATACATCTATTAAACGTCAAGCTGGGCATTAGAGATTCATAGAGAAGATTAAACCAGCCTGTTCTCAAAGAGCTTCCATTCTTCTTGTGCCGAGGCAGAGAAGTGGGAAATGGGAGATCAGATGTCATAGCCAGGGGTATGGCCAACAAGCCACTTTGGCTGGAGCAGTTTGCTCTCTTGTGAAAAACAGAACAAAACAAAACAATTCTCCTGTCAAGGAGGGAAGCTGGGGATTCTGAACTCCTTGATACCTGGGCCCCAGCCCCCATCTTCAGTTTGCCTCATTGGGAAACAATGCCCATGTCTTTTTTATTAACTTAGGGAACAAAACAAGAATTTCCATGACACAGTACAATTAAAAAGGTGATTTTACACGAAACTGCAAATCTACTATGCACAACCTGCTATTGCTTTCAAATATACAACAAAACTATTGTGGAAATTTCTTTTTTTTCTTTTTTTCTTCCCTTCCTCTCTCCCCTCCCCCACCTTAGAGATGGCCACCACTGGACACAGACATATATATGTACATATATATGTAAAATTGTTCTATACATATTTTTATTTGTCAATTCTCTGGATTCAGATGGTTTCTTTCTTCATGTCTTTTCTAGTCAATTTGGGTATTTATAATAGTAAAATAACTTATTTGCTCAAAGTCATTCTGAGAACAGTATTGCTGTAACTGTACACAATGTTCTCTAGGTTCTGCTCATTTCACTTTTCATTATTTTGTGCAGGTCTTTCCATGTTTTTCTAAGATCACTGAGCTCATCGTTTCTTATGGCACAGTAGTATTCCATCACAATCATCTACCACAACTTGTTCGGTCATTCCCCAATTGATAGGCATCCCTGAAGTTTCCAGTTCTTAGCCACCACAAAGAGAGCTACTATAAACATTTTAGAACACACAGGTTCTTTTCCTTTTCCCTTTATCATCTTTGGAAATTTCTTTTTGAACAGTACTCCTGAAAATCGGGGCTCTGTTGCAGACTTGGCCATTTGGGCTAGAGTCCTGCCTTGATTGGCTTTCCATTTCAGGATTTCAAGTCTCATTCTCTGTAAGCCAGCCCTCAGTGCAGTCTTCTTCCCTGGGGAGAGAGACCCCAGGGTGAGTCAGCTAGCTGTAATACTGAATGTACACAGAGAAACAAATGGACTCATAGAAAGGCAGAGTGAGGGATGGGAAGGAGATTCAAGGACGTCCTGGCACATGGGCATTTTGATTTTATTTATCTACTTCTAGACAAGCTCTCCAGCTAAGGGAGGACTGAGTGACTTCTTCTGCTCCCACAGTGGTGCCTAGATAGATAACTTTTGAAACAGTGTGTGTGTAGATAAAAACAGTTCCCTAATAAATTAAAAAAACCCATCAGAGGTAGCCATCAGGGTGCAGTTTGGTAAAGCACTGGCTGGCATATGTATGCCAGGCCAAAGAGTGCTATGTAGATGGGAGCCACTGCTCATGGAAACATATGTGGTTAGTGTGGTCTCTCAGCTACCCTCCATACACGTGGTCCTTGTGCAGCAGGCAGGCTTTAGCAACTAAGCCAGCAAAAGCATTCACAGAAGCACAGAATATGAAAGTTGGATGAGAGACCTTAGTTAAGTCAAGTAAACCAATCAATAAACATTTATTGAGCACCTACTGGGTGCCAGGCTCTGTACTAAATGCTGGGGAGATAAAAGAGACAGACAGTCCCTGCCCTCAAGGAGCTTACATTCTAATGGAGGAGACAACATGCAAAGAATTATTTACAAAGCAAGCTTTATACAAGATAAATAGGAGATAATTAGCAGAGGGAACGCACTAGAATTAAGAGAGGTTGGTGAGGCTTCTGGTAAACATGTAAAGCATTTATTAAGCACTTGCTACATACCAGACACTGTGCCATATGCTGGGAATACAAATACGTTTAAAAAGAACAACAATCTCTCCCCTCAAGGAGCTTACACTCTACCAGGAGAAGACAACCCATAGACAGGGGTAGGGTGAGGAAAAGGCACCTCTGCAGGGGTGTAGTGGGAAAGTATGGAGAGTCAGAAGAACCTGGAGATTAATGAAGGATTGCTGGCTGAGATCATTCTACAAAATGGGTGTCCCAGGAGAAACTCATGAATGGGAGGAGGGGACTGCAAGGGCATAGGGATCTTTCAGGGTAAGACGCAGCTGAAGCATGATGGTAAAGTCCAGAGAGTCAGAAGCAGAGCCAGGAGAGAGAAGCCTGCAAGCTGGAGGCAGGCTGGTGTGGTAGATTGAGCGCTGTATTTGGAGTCAGAAAGACCTGAGCTTGGATCCTGCCTCTGACACTAGCTGTGTGACCTTGGGCAAGTCACTACCATTCTGGGCTCTTTCTTTCTTTTTAAAATGGGGACAATATAATACCTCTAGTCCCTTCCTCACAGGGGTACATGAAAGTCAAAGGAGATCATGATGGGATGTAAAGTGCTCTGTAAACCTTAAAGCATTATATATGAAATATGAGCTACTACTATTATTAATGAGCTCTTAATAAATACTTGTGGAAATAAAGTTAAATGACACAGTCTTGCCTCAGTGTAGCTGGTAAATGTGCATTTGATGCATGTAAAGAACTTTATAAAACTTATGGCAATGTCATCTATTATTATGAGAACTATAACCTGTGGAGGACCTTAGAGATCATTCTGGTCTAAGTCGACAAACTCTCAGTCTACAAACAAAGAATCTGAGACCTGGGTAGGACAGCTGGGGAGGTGAAAGAATGAGCTAAGGTCACATTACTACCAAGTGGAAGAGCAAGGACTTGGACCCAGGTCCTCTGACTTCAAATTTAGCACTTATCCTCCATATAAGAGGATGGCCACTGAGATCCCTTCCAACTGTCCAACTCTGTGATCCAGAGTGATCATCTCTTTTCATCTCATTCCAGCAACAGTTCAAGGACAAGTCTCGATCCCACTATTATTCTTTTCTATTTAAGACCATTGCACAGGCAGATAAAGTGACTACATTTTGTCATCAAACTATTTGGATGTCGGCTCTTCCTCTGAAGGTTCACGAAAGCATCCTCGGTCCAACCACAGTAGCGGACAAGGAAAGATATGCAGCTCATCCTGTTCCTATGTATGTCTGAGCTTTTCTACTGGGTCTCAATATTTGGAAAGCCATTCATTCCATGTAGGAAAGAAAGAAGGAGAAAAAGGAAAAAGGAGAGGGAGAAAGAAAGAAGGGAAGAAGGAAGGAAGAAAATATGGGTTGGAGATGAAAAAGTTTTATGGTAACATTTATTAGAAATGTTCTTAAGTTTTAAAAAATCAATGTTGTATCTGGGTGGTTGTGGGCAGTAGCTAGGTCTGTGATAATGACCTGCTTCCAATATGATTTATTGGTTGAGTACTCTGGGATGTTTGAGATAAATATTTGTAGTATGTAGATTTTGTTATCTGTCAGTCCATAAAAGGTAATGAGCTTCTTATGTACAATTTTAGCTACATGCTTATGTTTCGTGAGGTATTCAGTTGGTGCAAATTTTTTACTACCTGT